TCTACGTAAATTGATTTGCCAATACAGGAATGGATGTTATTTGGTTGAGAAATGCCTTGTGACTGTCCACCCTTTCACCTCCATGTGTATTTTCTGTTGAAGCGCCCAGACCCATTCCTTTCATAATCGTATATCACTCCCTCATGGGATTTCAGAGCTGGAAGGGACCTACCTCATCCCTTAGTACAATCTCGCATGACTTAGAGATTTCATGGACATCCCACCAAAGAGAGAGTAGGGGTTCAGCCCTAGCCCCTGGGGTGCCCAGTACCTGAGCAGCAGACTCCAACAGGCTGATGTTTCCAACTTTTTGCTTGTGGTTCTGGCAGGCATTTTCTCCTGAAATTGCTTTAAGACCTTTTGTCCTTTTGATGTTTTTTCTAAGTCCTGTAGATTTCCCTGACAGACTTATTTTTTACAGAGAAATATGTACCGCCACCCACGGCAAAGGTACATATTTATTACAGGATTGTGTTGATAAAACCACAGGGAGCTGGGTCTTGAACATGGTTCCATTTGCATCTCCCTGGGCCAAGTGTTACTGGAAACACAATGGATTCTTATGCTGCTTGGAGAGGGTAATTGATTTCAATTGAAAAGCAGTGTGGAAATGCAAGACAGACGGGGTCAAATTCATTGACCTCCAGGGCTCTCTGCCTGCCAGCAAACAGGTATGACAAATTGCAACATGTAGAAATGGCAGCTATGATGGCCCCTCATGTTCTCCCAGTCTCTGGGACAACCACAGTCCTTTGGCATTTCAGAATTTCTTTACTTTGAAACTCCTTTAACCTATTGAATCGTGAGGTGCTCCAGGCATCCCAAAGGAAAGACCAAGAAGAGTGGCAGAGATGCTGGTGCGAGGACTCACAGGAACATCTCTGAAGTCTGGGATGCAGGCCCTGGTACCCGAGAGCCTGGGTGCCAGAGCCAGGCTTGGAACCAACTGCAAGGACCCTGACCTTGAGCTAAACTCATTCCTTCTGACGGGATCCTCTCTATAGAGGTGTGCAGGAATTGAAGGATGGCTTGTTTGCAAGTTTCCTTGGTAAGAAGAAATGGACTTAAATCATAAAGACTTTGAAATTTGGACACTTGCCCTGGCTCACTTTGGGTCTATACTTGTGAGATGTTGTGGCTGCCCATGTGCACAGCTACAGGGTCACCTGAACGGTGATTTCTCCTGCCCAAGGACTATTGAGTTCTGAATGCTTTTCTACCAAAGAAACCTCTAATCTTCATGAAGCATTTGACATTTGAGGATTGAATCATAGGGCTACCCGAAACCTGAGAAATCATCTGGCAGAATTCTCCCTTGCTCCGCCCATCCCTTTCTTTTTTGGCAAAAGGGAACCCCGAGGGAAGTAACCTATCTCTGTAACAACTGTCAGCCACCAGGGCCAACTCAGATAGACATGAGTCCTCCAGGAGCCAGAGGGAGCATTCCCTTCATCCTCTTATATCAGACTTTGATATTCTGATAGGATTATAGAAGGCCCCTTAACCTACATGCTAGATTAACCACCACTACCCTGTCCCCTGTGACATAACTGACGCCCACACAGGCCAGATGCTCCTGGCGAACAGACTTCTCTGTTGTTGACCCGTGACTCTCTGTTGTTCCTTCTCCAGCTGCATGCTCACCAAGAGGAGGCTGTGTTTGAGTCTGTTTATGCCAGCTGTACTCATCATTGAAATGATGTGATTTATTTGAATGTTATGTAAACCAATGAAATATAACTGAGGCAAGAGAGAATGATTTCTGTGAGTTAGGTGCTTTGGAAAGAGGAGCGTGCTACAAAATATTGAGCGTGAAAAGGGGAGGAAGAAATCAGCATCCAGAAGGATTCTGAATCAGGTTCTTTCCCAAGACCTCATTCCACTTCAAAGGAAGGAAAATGAGTGTGGTTCATGGAAGATAACCCCACTCAAGTGGGGGCGCCCACATTCACAGAAGACATCTGGGCCTCACCTCGAAACACAGGCATGGCTTTAAGTCACGTAATTGTAAAATCTCAATTTATATGACTCCACCTCTTTTGACTGGTTTTCAATTAGTCAACCAGAAGTGGGCTTCACTCCTCTTAGCATCTATAGAGCTCAGAAAACTTTTGCCTCATGTCAATAATGAATGTACAGAGTAACTTAAATTTTAATTATTTCTAATATAAAGTGATAGGAAAATTGAGAAACACAGTTTGTTGAATATGTTCAACTCGGTAGTCATATCAAGACCTTGCTTGAATTAATAGTTGGAAGACTGCGGGAACCCCCCTGAAATGGAACCGTTAAGCCTTCCAGAGGAACTTCTGTCTGCAGCAGAAATTTGAGGTTGGGGGCATTTTAGTTGTTGTTATCACTCTGAAGGGAGGGAGTTTAAAATACTTTCCTGAAAAAAATCTAAAACTCCGCTTTCTCTCTAGTACCATCTCTCCAGGGATGCTTTGCTCTGTCTAGAGGCCTGATGGTAGGGTTGGCATGGCTGTAGATGGCCTCGTCTCTACTCAGTTCCTGAAGACCCACACCACCAAATCCACGGTCCCTACAATCGCATCTTTGATGAAAAGATCTCTGAGTAGACATGCGTTTTCCCAGTTCATGAGAGAGAGCCAAAGCGATCACAATGGCCCGATCACTCCTCCTGGTGAGTCTTTGCTAAATTCTGGCGAATTCCTGTGGTGCTGGGACACTCACAGGTCTTTTGAAAAGTGGGCCAGTGGCTGGTGTATTGGGATTCATGCAGAATGGTGGTTGAGTCAGTTCTAAATTCCTGAAGGCTAATTCCTGAAAAAGACAAATTCCTGTCCTTCACAGGCTTGTTAAATCACTTTTAATAGCACTTTTAATGTATGTTACTTCTGGATTAGAGCTAAATTTATTTAAATTACTTCAGTTACATTGGAGAATGTCCTAATAAATTCTTTTTTCAGTTCCCCCACAACATGTTAAATGGGTTTATGCTCATCAAGCTCACTGTCTGAACCTTTTCTGAAAACTCTGCTCACTTCTGCTTTGTTGCATTAAAAGACTGGATGAGCTTCAGCTCCCAAACTGACAAAAGCTCAGCTGTGAGGATACCTGGCAAGGCTGCACCTTCCTCCCTTCTTGTGCTAATCGACTGATGTTGGGGCAGGTTTATTTTATGTCAGGGTTACGTGGCTTTGCTTTCTTGTTGATTGAAAATTCCTTTCCACCATATGAATGTAGTGAAAAGATTTCCACTAACCAGACTTCTCTGATAAGTTGCTATCTCTGAGAAGATAATTTGTAAAGTGTAGGAGTTCTTGCTAAACAAAGCTTGCCTGGGTGCTTGCTTTTCACCTCCTCCTTGTTAACAGTGGAGAACAATTAGGGGGCTTGGCTTGCTGGGCCAGGGCTGCTGGAGGGTCCTGGCTCCCTGCGTGCTGCTAGGGGCCTTTAGCTGCTGGCATTTGGCTTTCCCTAGAGCTTCACTTGGTGATGGTTCCAGCAAGGCAGGCTTTCTCAGTTCCGGCTCTTTTGACATTTTGGACCAGATGACACTCTGCTGTTGGAGGCCGTCCTGTGCGTTATGGGATGTTAGCAGCATCCCTTGCTTCTACTTACTAGATGCCAGTAGCACCTCCCTAGTTGTGACAGCTGAAAATGTCTCCCTCGAGACCTTGCCAGATGTCCCCTTGGGAGGCAGAACTGCCCTCAGTGGAGAGCCCCTGCAGTAAGGACTGTGCTGGTGTGACACCTGGTGCTCATGTCTGCCTTGTGGTTTCTTCTGCCTGCTCCCAGACAAGGTCACCAGGTGGCCCAACTCTGCTTATAAAGAACCTGGAGCCCTGTCCTGGATTGTGTGATGGGTTCAGGATTGTGTGGACTCAAGGTTTTTGCTATATTGAAGACGTTTATGCCCTCCTCCTGTCTCTACCTTCTTGATGAGAGGATGGTAGCTTTGAAGATCTTTCTAGAAAGTGTATTTGGTGGGAGATGGGAGTTCCTTTACATATATTTAGATATTTAACTATGCAGTTAGAATTGTTTCTGATAATTGGACAGATCAACTAAGTTGTTCTTCAGGCTTAATTTCTAAAAATGAACTAAATTATGACATTTCTTTTGGCTCTCATATTTTGTTTGTGAAAATTACATTTCTGAAAAGAACAAAAAAAGACAGTAACCTCTCTGAAGGTTGTAACCATGTCTTAAAATACTAAATTATTGGGGCCGGCCCCATGGCTGAATGGTTAAAGTTCTGTGCGCTCTGCTTTGGCTGCCCAGGTTCGTGGGGTCGGATCCTAGATGCAGACCTACTCCACTCATCAGCCATGCTGTGGAGGCATCCCACATACAAAGTAGAGGAAGATTGGCACAGATGTTATTAACGCTCAGGGCTAATCTTCCTCAAGCAAAAAAGTAAAAATAAAAAAACCCTAAATTATTGCCAAAAGCCTAATATGGCTTTTGCTTGTTGCAATTTCTGCTATATTCTTATTGATACTAGTAGTCTAAACACACTTCAAATGAAAAAACATGAATACCAGCTGTAGGGGTTCTAGAGAGGGGTTTATGCCCCAAGGGACATATGTGCCATAATACTTGTGAGTTTCCAGGAAGTAAATTGCACATTTGGTGTGAGCAGCCTGGGTTCTTCTGTGGTATTCCTCGCACATACAATTTGGTTTCCAGGCTTTGATCTATACCATCTGAAGGGTTTATATTTCACAGCCTTTCTGGAACACACAGTACAGTGCTCATGGCTATCGATTCCAAGGGAGCAAGCTATCAAACTTACACCAATTTTTGTAACCACTAAGATGCATTTGCAAGAAAAATGAATTCCAGCTCTCCCTCATCCCATGATCCTATACCTGGGGTTGAGTATTTAGAAGTAGCTTAGAATTATGGTCAGGTAAGGTCCTTTTTGTGTGATAGAATCATCCCAGCATGGCCCCAGATGGTACTTGCATTCGTGGGTAAACATCATTTGTCACTCATAATACGAAAGTGGGAAGAGGAGAATGTTAACATACCTATAGATAATACATGCACTGTTCCTGCATGTGTCACAATTAGCTGTGTCTTGCCCCGTCCGATATGAAAGCCTACAAGATAAGAACAGGAGAGCATTACAAGTGGTGGCTGGTGGTTGCTGGCTTTTATAGAGCAGACACCTCAAATCAGATGCTTTCCCAATGCCACTGCTCATCATGGTAATGGAAATTAATTAATGTGTATTTCCCATTTTGCTCCTGTCTCTGCATTTATTGTACACAACCAATGCAACGTCTACAGCTAAGATGATATTTAAATTAAATTTAGAGTGTGAACATAAGCTGGTAGATGAAGTAAATAATCTGATTAATCTGATTTTGTTATAAGCAGAGGGAATTTGGGATGTTTTAGTGCAGCTTTATATTTATGGTGTTTTGAAGAAACTTGGAGGGAAAACCAACCCCAGATATGCTGACTCCGTGGCTTGTTTTTGCCCCACTACCTCGTTGCTTGTTAAGAGTACACGTCCGCAAATTTCCGCCCTTGGGCCCAATCCCTCCCTCAGCCTGACTTGGTCCAGGAAGCTAAGAGTGGATTTCACATTTTTAAATGCTTGAAAAAAAAATCAAAAGAATAATAGTATTTAGAACGCATGAACATTAACGAAATTCAGATTTCAGTGTCCAAAAATAAAGATTGCAATTTTGTCAATAAAAAATAGTGAATATTTTTATATAAGTTCCTACACAATATCCTTGATTTTGCCTCATCTATGGCAAATTCCAGAATATTTATTCTCTGGCTCTACAGAGAAAAAGTTTGCTGACCCCTGTGGTGGAGTATCCTATTGCTGTAGTCATGCCTTCTGATTTCCTTGCTGTGCCTATATTCTCCGGTGAGTTCTGTCAGTCCTATGAGGCCAGACCAATTTGCTTTTTGTGAGGGAGATGCTAACTCTCTTCCCTCTAAAAAAATAACCTTAGAGTATTTTTTTGGAGTATATTGTGAAAGGTTGTATAAACTTAAAGGTTTGATAAGCAGGATTTTCTTGACCAGGCCTTGAATAACTCTCAGCCCAGTCATCCCAAGAAACTAGTTTGGGGGTGCTTTCCCAGTGTTTCTTGTAACCACTTTGCTGACCTTTCCTCTGTGATATTTTTAACAGGCAGGAGTATTTTTTCGCAGTATTACTTTGTACCCAGGGACAAACATGATAACCAGAATCTGTTAAATTCGTGGCAGAAGGAAAGCTTTCATCAGAATTGGCTTATACACACTCTGGGGGCAAATTTACATTTATAGAGTCACTCAATGTAGTAATAGTGTGCACAGAAGGTTTCCTGTCAACATTGATTGTCAATATTTTCATCACCTTCAGTAAGCAAACTTTATGCATCATGGATTTTGAATTGAAAATAACTTTTGTTTTCCTCATTATATTTTGTGTTACGTAAACATTTGACAAAAGGATTTTCCACTCAGTGCCATGATGTCTCAGTGAGCTTCAGTAAACTCAGACTTGACCTTTGAATTCTGGTGTGTTTTATTTTATTTATTAATAAAATGACCATATTCTGCCCCAAAATCATTCTGCCAGTCATTGCCTGTGACCCATTGTATTTGAGCCGGAATTGGAATCATAGTGTGGTTGCATTTGTGTTGACCTTTGTCCACCATCATTTCTTGTATTGAGCTCCTTTGATGCCCACATTGGGCCTTTTCCCCTCCCCTTGCCTTTGTCAGGAGAGAGGAGCAATAAAGAGCCTGTGCCTTACACCCTCCCTTTTTCTTCACCAGACACGGCAACTGTTTTTCTTTTATCCCTTTCCTCTTGATGGCAGGCCTCAAGAGTACATTCCTCCTGAACCTTTCCACCTGGCTCCAGATTTGTCGAACCCATTCCAGGGTTCTTTCCTGTCATGACACTGACCTCCGTTCCTCCGTGCCTTTTCTATATATAATGCCTTTCTCCATCCAGCTGATTCTACTAGAGCTTGGCCCTAAGCTCATTTCTGACTAGGGTCACTTTGTACAATATTGTGCACAGTACTTGAGCCCATGTCCTAGCAATGACATGTCTGATGTGGAATGTGTTGTAAAACTGTTGGGTTGGGTTGCAGATGAGAGACTGCTGCTATTATTGTGTAGTAACTGCCAGCCAGGGGAGAAGATATATAATAGTTGTCTAATATGTGCTAGTCACATTCCAAAGTTTAGGTTTTTAAAAGAAAACAGACAAAATCAGGGGTCATTTCTTAACCTTTATCTGAGGAGCACTCTTTCTGGGTTCCAAGGTATGAATTCCAAGCTCACAGAACCTTCCTGCCCTAGACCTCGGGACAAATCTCTGTCAAGCCTCATCAATACCAACACCCCTTCCTTGCCTGGTAGCATAGATTCCCAAGTGTCTCACTTACATTAGAGCCTTGAGTCCTCAAATTAATTATGCTATCCTCATTTTACAGAAGAGAATACAGTAAGACTTCAGGTCCGAGATCTCATTATTCTTAGACCCCAGGCTTCAGATGCTCTGCGATGCCCTGTTTGTACCTGGGGACTGGTGTTCTGCACTATGTGTAATTGGCAGCTCAGGAGAGTCAATGAATCCTGCAATGACAGGACAAGGGCTTCAAGTACCTGAAATGCACAAAAGGATTCTCTTGCAGGACCTTGGAGTTCTTCAGTTTGAAACTGTTTTTTAAAGCTCTTTCTGAAAAGACTCTATTCTTATGACCTTGTAGAAAGCACATATATTTTTTTTTACCCTGTTACAGTCAATAAGCAAATAGTTATTAAGTGCCTACTAAGTATTGGGCATTATTCTAACCACTGAGGAGACATTTTTGAATAAGACAGAGTCTTTGTCTTTATGAAGCTTATAGTAGAGCAGGAGAGGCAAGCAATACATAAACACACGAATGAATGGATGGATAGACGGATGGATCATTTTTGATACTGCTCTGTGTTAAGGAAGTGTTGTGAAGGGGTGGCTTTGGCTAGCACATCAGTGACATGACATCTGAAATGAGACCTGAATAATAAAAAAGCAGTTAGTCATCTGAAAATCCAGGGTTGAATGTTGTAAGCAGAAGGACCATCACGTGTGAACATCCTGCAGTGGGAATGATGTTGGCATGTTTCCAGGATAGAAAAGAAGGCTAGTGTGGCTAGAATAGATGGAGCAAATGGGGATGGAGAGAGATGAGATCATGTAAAATAGGAAGCTCTTTGGACAATATTTTAAATTTAATGGAAAGCTACTATAGAGTTTTTCTTATAGGTGGGTGAAAGAATGACATGGAAAACACTTCCTCTTAACTTTTACTGTCACCCCTCTCCTTTTATAATATAATTTGCATTTAATTTCCTTTCTCTTCTTTCATTTACAACCCAACCTAACCCACTCAAACCTGAGATACAGTATAGTCTGGTTGATGTCTGTTGATAAGAAGCAAATGAGTCATCATGTCTACTTTATATGGAGATGTATCCATGGTGACTCTTTTTTTTTTTTAGCTAGTTTAAAAGAAAATAATTGGTGGTCAGTCATATTTCCACCATATCTGTAGTATGAAGATGCAGTATGAAGAATCTGAAGTATTTTCAGGATCTCATTGCCATGAACTTCTCTTGCAGAGACCCTTCAGTATGTTTCTAAGGTTTTGTTTAGGACCTTTCTTGTGTTTTAAAGGATTCAAATGTTTGGACTCCATAAAGGTAGTTTATAGAAATAGAGGTCAACGAGAGATTAATTTGAGGGTGAAATTTAAAGTATTGCCCTTGCGTCATGTGGTCAAGTTCCAGGCTGCCTCCAGCAGCTAATGTCAATCAAGGTATGCCTGCCAAAGTTTTATTAAGCATGAGGATGTTCCCAGTAGAGAGCTTAAACTATGTAATCCATTGTGCTTATTGCTTTGATAATCCATCTAATAGTCTTTGGAGCTTCCAAGCTGTGGGGGTTTGGCTTCACTGATAGTTTTGTGGTCACATTAATAATTGTGTTGCAGCATCTAAATGAATATGTTCTCCAAATGCAGACAAAACAGATAAGTTCTTTCTATAGGACGGGGAACATAAAGTGCTGTGATGGAATTTCCCTATTTTTTCCTTCTCAATTGGAAGCAAGTCATAAAGCCAATACTTAGAATGATTATCTTTCTAGATTTCCACTGCCACAAAGAGGAGCAATCCAAAAACTCTGAAATGCTGGAGCAGATACTTCTCCAGTGACAGCAGGGCTAGAGATCTTTCGTGATTAAAAGTTTGGAGAAGAGAGAGCTTAGATTATTGATGTAAAAGCTGCAGAGGAAGAACATCTCAGTGAAAAATTAGACTTTTTTTTGTCTTGCAGTTAATTGCTACTGTTGTAAAGCTCTCTTCTTTTTTGTTTTGAAGAGCTTATACCTAATATAGGTTTATCATCCTGGTCCTGTCACAATGCCTGGTACACCCTAAGTGTTTGGTTAATATACACTTGACCAACTAATAGAGTCAGTCTTTGCCTTCTCATATTGAAGCCCAATAACAGATAAATCTAATGAAAAAATTCCAAGTAAGTGCAAAAAGCAAATGAAAAGTATAAATTTTGAAAAGCTCTGGTCCTTACTTTTTTCCCAGTACGAACCCCTTTGGAGCTCAGTGATAAGCACGCTTATTATAAATATGGATTTTTAATGCATTATTTTTTGTAGACATCATTATTTATTGTCCCATTACAGTTACTTGCCATTTGTCTGTATTTTCTAGTCTTAGCAGTTCTTATAACTTGAGTAAAATATTCAGCACCAAGGACAGCACCAGAACCAAGAGTCTATGGTGCTGTCTTTCAGTACTTTTTCTTTTCTCTCCTGTTGACCCTCTTGGCCCCTATCCCACAGTTCTAATCCAGGGACCAATTCCAGGACCTTCAACCTCTCCTCGCTTGATGCCCTTTGGACATTAATGGGTCAGGGTAGCCAAGTAGACATGAGTAATGAAATTCAAAGGGGGATGTAAAGAGCATAGACTCTGTGAAAGCACGAGGAGGAGGAGTTGTGCCTGATTTGTTGAAGCAGAAGGGATTTGGACAAGCTAATTTCACAAGGTGGTTTTGGTGGAGTCCAGTTTTAGA